CTTAGCCTAGTCCCCTTGGAACTTAAAGTTTGAAAAGAACGAGTACAGTCTACTAATAGTTAGTAGTGTCGTGGCTAGAGAGGGATAGATAGTCTAGCCAGTTGGGTCACCTCTTTTATAGGGTACAAGTGCCAGAAATCCTTCCTCCCATGCCCAAATTTCATTCCACACCCACAAAAATGTTAGGGTACCCTTACTTCATAGGCTAGTATGTATGTGCGTATTGATGACATGTACCTACGCACATATGTTATTTTTGTTCTTTTTAGTCATTTCAGTTCTTTCCTTGTGGTGTACCTGTTAAGTCTGTGGGTACAAACTTGAAAACCCCCCTACCATTCTTCCATTATCTATCTGTCTAGGTAAAAGGTCTTAAACATATGCGTGCGTGCTTATCTAGGTAAAAGGTCTCAATATAGGCCAACTTTGCTATCTGGGTGAAAGGTCCCAACTATAGATATACTAACTTTGCCTTAGCTTAACATACAGGATATGGTCTGTAGGTTCCTTGCATTACAGGCAAACTTACTTTAATATCAATCTATATAAACCTATTACAATAAACCAAATACTTAAACTATAAGAAAAGATCTATATATGCAAGCAAGCAGGTTAATCCTTTAGGCTACAACACTTGCCCAACATTAAAAATGTGTTCAAGTGCTTTGCTGTATAGGGACAGCTACCAAATAAAGGCCCTCGGCTGACCAGAACCAGGATCTCTCTCCTATTCCAGAGCAGTGCATGCCAGCAAATTCAAATATCCCAACACCTCATACATATGGCTTTAAAGCTAAAATAATAAAAAGCTAATCACATCTCCTCAGCAACACAAACTAACACGAGCACAGCACACCTGTCCACCACTGTCTACACTGGCTTCCCATAGAATTTCAAATCAAGTCAAGGTCTCAGCCCTTATCTTCAAAACGTTCCATGGCCCGGACCCAACGAATCTAAAAGATTGTCTAAAGCCTGGGACGAAGACCATTGTTGTCACCTACACTGCTCTGGCACAGTCAAACTTTCTACAATAAGAGTAAAGCTTGTCTGTGCTGGAGACAGAACTTTCTATGGGGAGACGGTCCAGAAATACGGAATGAACTCTACCAAGAATTAAGGACCACCACAACCCCCCCCCCCCCCCACACACACACTTGTTGCTCCAAGTGCAACATGCATTTCTTTAGCGTTGCCTTATCTAATGTAAACACATAGCAACATGTATATTGTAACAATTGATTGAAAGCCCTGATGGGCCGGATCTGGCCCACGGGCCGTAGTTTGCCCTCCCACGCCCTACGCCATCGCAACTGCCCTCTAGACAGAGGAGAGACATAGATGCCTCTGGAGCCAATGAATGCCATTCCTTCTCCTGCATGGACTGAGCACACTTCCCCTGCAGTGCTCAAACTTTGTAAAACCAGGGACTGAGAGATGCCAGGGTGACGCACTGCTGTCAGAGCACTGGGCCAGCTGAGTCAGTGTCTTCAGAGCACCAAACCAGCCCAGAGTCATCCAGGCCTCACACCTCCCAAGGGGGAATAAATCTTCACAGAAGATAAATCACTTACTCTTAATATATAAAAAGGAGTGGTTATAGAGGTGGGATACAAAAAGCTACTTCAAAATCTCTACACCGGTCTAATTTAAATTAGATCACACAAACTTTATTTGTATTGCAAGGGCCACCCAAAGCTCTTACTCAGAATCGGGGCCCCACTGAATGAGTCAACAATGTGATGCTGTTGAGAATAAGGCAAATGTAATTCTGGGGTGTATTAACGGGAGTGTCATACATAAGATATGGGAAGTAATTGTTCCACTCTACTTGACACTGGTGAGGCATCAGCTGGAGCACTGTGTCCAATTTTGGACAGAACACTCCAAGAAAGTTGTGGACCAACTGGAGTCCAGAGGACAGCAACAAAAACGAAGAGGTTTAAAGGAAATGTTGAAAGAATTGGACATGAAGGCTGAGGGGGCACAATAGTAACAAAAAGATTGTTATGAAGAGGATAGTGATCAATTACTGTCCATGTCCACCAAGGGTAGGATAAGAAGTAGCCTAGGACAAGAAGTACTCAGCTTAGTTTACAGCAAGGGAGGTTTAGGTTGGATATCAGGAAAAACTTTCTAACGATAAGGATCGATAAGCACTAGGTTATGTAGGGAGGTTGTGGAGTCATTGGAGGTATTTAAAAACAAGTAGACAAATACCTGGCAGGGATGGTCTAGGTATTGGTCCTCCCTCGGCACAGGGGGCTGGACTAGATGTCCTCCTGAGGTCCCTTCCAGCCCTACATTTCTATGATTGTACTAGGCACAGTACAAATACTCATGAATACATGATCCCTGAGTGACAGGATTAAAGCCCCGAGACACCTTTTTTGTGTGTGCAGTAAGCAGTCCAGCAGGGACAGCAGAAAAGGCAGAGTTCAGAGCTGTGCAGTGAAAGAGAACATGCCTGTATGAAAACTTTTAAAAATCATTTCTCTAAAGAAAGTTTAAAATTCCCCATGCTGGTGAGTTCAGTACTCAGAGTTGAAGGAAAGAAAGGCCTTCACACCAAGAGGTCAATTTCCTATGGTCATACTAGGTCAGACCAAGATCCATCTAGCCCAGTATCCTGTCTTCCGACAGTGGCCAATGCCATGTGCCCCAGAAGAAATGAACAGAACAGGTAATCACCCAGTGATCCATCCCCTGTCACCCATTCCCAGCTTCTAACAAACAGAGGCTAGGAACACCATCCCTGTCCATCCTGGCTAATAGTCATTGATGGACCTATCCTCCATGAACTTATTTAGCTCTTTTTGAACCCTGTTATAGTCTTTCATTCTACAGGGTTGGCAAGAGGCAATTTTTAGACTACAAATTAAGCTCTGATAATCACCCAGTGCTTTGTGCATCATAGTGGGCAGGTCCCACAATACCCTGCCACTCAACAGACACTGTGTGTTGATTGGCTCAGAGTTTGTTCCTTTCAGTTTAATGAGACTATTTGTGCTTCTGAAGATTAAGGGACTGGCATACAGTGATGGAGCCACTGGTCAGATAGCTGTATTGCAAATTTCTTCCAATGCAGTTCCCAACAGTGACCTCAAGTGAAATCATAAAAACATTTTTTCTAACACACCTGATTGTTCAGCCTGTGTTTAGGACTGTTTAAATGCTGGAACCTTGCCAGTAAAAAGACTGAATCCTACTCAGCTAAGCAGACTGTATCTAAGTTGTTGGTTTCCTGAAAGGTATTTTTTAAAAAGGAGTCAAACTGGTGTGAAGGAAGGTCTCTAAAGGTCATTTGTCCAAGCAAGGTTCATTTTTATTATTTTAACAAGAAGATTGGTCACTCCCCTAGCTCCCTTTTCATGTCTCCTGTTCTTTAGAATTAAGTGTCAAACTACCTTCTACATGTAGGGACCATCTCACTTCACCAGATACATACATCCTCACAAGAATTTCAGCTATTTTCTCCACATCCCAGCAAAGATTAAATAGCCAAGTGCTATAATGAAATCTTATAAATCACCAAGACATAATTAACTTCAGAAAACATACCACAGGATATTTATTAGTTTTAATTATGTAAAATACTTCATGGTACCCTAAGTTACCCTTCTCAAAATAAATGAACTCGAGTACACTCCATAACACAACTTTATTTTCAATTGTGTTTGTTCACTTTCTTACTCATTTATACAGTACATGGGAGGAATTTGTGATGGGTCTCCAGGTAGATGTGAACTAGGGACGTTCCAGTATAACAATTTTCAAATAGAAAAGTCGGAAGATCAGTTTGGACTCTGTTCTCCTATTTCTACTGCAATGATTTATACCAGAATATAAACCAGGTTTAGGTCAAGCTACACTTTAGAACTCATAAGAAACAGACGAAGAGTTTTCCCCCAGCTTGTATCACTGAGTTCATTCTGGTTTGCCCCTCTGCTTTTGGCTGTTCCAATCTCTACCCTGGCTGACAGGCTGCACCTAGAAACGCGGATGTCTTTACCGCAGACAGACACGGCAGGAGAGCCACACGATTGCCCCAGCAGCAGGCAGGGGGTTAACGCAGTTAATGGCGATTCGCGGTGCCGGCTGCAGACTACAGGTCCAGCTCCCACGTGCTCCCGGCAGGGGCCGCCCAACTCCTCTGCTAGCCCGGCGCGACCCTCGGACTCGAGCTGCGGGCTGAGGCCCTACATCCATAGCCCGCGCGCGCTACCCTGGGCGCCAGGCAAAGGCAGCAGCGGCCCCTCGTAAGGTCCGAGCCCGGCCCGCCAGGCCTCGATCCTCCCGGCTCCCCCACCAACCAGCCCCCGAGCCGCGCGACGCCGGGACAGCCCCGCCAGGCCCCGCCCTCACCTGCCGCCAGCGCCCGCAGCCGCGCGGGGCTCCCCGCCCGCAGCAGGGCCCCCAGGCGGCTTCCGCGCAACAGCATCTCCCGGGCCATGCCAGGCCGCTCGCTCTGCTGGGCGCACGCGGCGAGTGTGAGGGGAGGGACCGGCGACCGCCGGGGGAGGGGGACTCTCGCCTTCTGACACGGCGCAAACTGATGATGTCACGTTGCCTGGGCGACCCAGGAGCGCGTGACAGGAACCGCCCCCCTCCCCGGGAAGGCGCAGAGAGGCGGCCTAGAGTTGCGGGCGGGGTGTCCGCTCGCTGCTTTCGAGACGGGCTTCAAGGGCAGCGCCCTCATCTTACAAAGTCCCCTTCCCCCAGCGGGTGCCCATCCCCCGGCCTGGTTACCCCTTGTCCCCCCGCGCCCTCCCACCTAACAGATGCTCACCCACCCCACACGCGCGCCCCTGCATGCCCAGCGGGCACACAGGGGTGGCTGTGCGCATGCGTAGAGAAACACGTTTGGGAAGTGGGCCTTGTGCAGTGACGGTATGCTTTACGCATGCGTGAAGGGACAAGGTGACGGAAAGCGCTCTAGTGTTCACGGGTAACGGCCGCCGCTTGTTCTACGCATGCGCGCCAGATTATGCGCGCATGCGCCTCGAACGGAATTGGCTGCCGCCTGACTGTTAGTGTCCAGGAGTGCGGAGTGGATGGAGCCCGCCCCTCCTAGCAGAGGTCAGAGGGGCCGGGGGAGGCCGGGGAGAGCAGGTGTAGCGGGAGGGGAGTCCTGTCTGCAGCTTGGGAGGGTTGCTTCCCTGTTGCCCTGACAGCCCTGGTACCACTGCTTGTTCCCATGGAGCCATACAACACAGGAACAAGGGGATATCAATGGAATTAAATTATGGCAAATTTTAAAAAATTTCACAAGTGTAATTATACTGTGGAACTCATTGCCACAGGATGTCTTTGAGGCCATAACATTAGCAAAATTCGAAGAGAGATTGAGCATTTATGTGGATAACAAGAACATTAATAGATAATGGTAACATATTTTGAAAGAGAGATTAAAACCTCATGCTTCAGTGCTCAAACCCACCCTAACAACACCTCTACCCCAATATAACGCTGTCCTCGGGAGCTAAAAAATCTTACCGCATTATAGGTAAAACCGCATTATATCGAACTTGCTTCGATCCTCTGGAGTGCGCAGCCCCGCCCCCCCGGAGCACTGCTTTACCGCGTTATATCCAAATTCATGTTATATTGGGTCGCGTTATATCGGGGTAGAGGTGTATTAGGGATTATGGTGAGGTCTTCATGGGGGCAGATAATCCCATATCTTCATACTGAGGGGTTTCATGCATCTTCCTCTGAAGCATCTGGTACTAGCCATTGTTAGAAACAGCATATCAGACTAGATGGATCTCAGGTCCAATCTAGGTGGCAATTTCTATATTCTATAGTAATTGTTCTGTGGATTGAAGATTTCAGTATTCAGTGTGGCATCTATCCCTAGGATTAAATTTACTAAAAGTTAAATTTGTATTAGTAAAATAAAGCCAAAACAATTGTCATATCTAGGGCCTGCTTCTCCTCTCATATCAATGTATATCAGAAATAACTCTGTTGACTTCAGTAGAATTAAACAGGAAAGAGAGGTGAATCAGGCACTTCATGCAGATTCTACACATAACCAAGCGGTGCAGAGATGAAATAATAAATGCCATTAGGAATTTGCAGTAAAAATTAAAATGTGGGATATTGTTTAAAAATTGCATGGATTTTCCCCTTAGGCTATTGCAGCACTGTTTTATGGTTACAGATATTTATAGTAATCAAATTCATGGTTAGCTGCTTCACTCACTTGTGCTGTTGCTTAAAAATAGCTAATGCATGTTCACTCAGGCCACGTTACCTGGGGATTCAGCAGTTGAGGACTCTCTCTACAGCTTCTTCAAGGCAGCAAAGTGGGAATCTACCTTTCACTTTCAAGGTCAGAAGGGATTGGGTACAGAAAGAGCTCATCCTGGGTGGAAAAGCAGGGTGTGTGGTGGTTTAAGACAAAATGTTGGCCCTGAGCCTGCAAACATTCACATGCTTAGCTTTATTCCCAGCTCTGCCACTGGCCTGGTGCGTGACCTTGGGCAAGTCACCTTCCCCCCTTTATGCCTCAGTTTCCCCATCTGTAAAATGGGGTTCATGATACTGACATCTTTTGCAAAGTGCTTCAAGATCTATTGATGCAAAGTGCTATATAAAAGCTAGGTCTTTTTATGATGTATTACTTATTAATATCATGAGTAGTTGAATTTACTTCAGTGGGCTACTCATGGTAGTAAAGTTAAGCACAAGTGTAAGTGTTTGCATGATTAGAGCCTTTATTATTATCATCATCAGTAAATACATATAGTATGGTAATACTCAAAGGCCCCAGACCTAATTGGGGCCCCATTGTGCTGGACATTGTACAGATATTAGAAAATGTCATGTCTCCAGATGGGTGAAGTCATTGCTTTAGCACTGAAAAAGTCCCAAGTGGGATTGAAGTTCATATCTCATTGAGATCCATGGGATGGGGATAGGTGAGTTTCCACCTTTGCTGCCTGCTGCTGCTGCTATTTGGCTGGAGGTAGTTTTTTGCATGCTGATTATTAGGAAACAGTGCATCAACAATGTATCTTTGTTATTGAAACAGCTAGAAACTTTTTAAATATCAGCTTTAGAGTCCAAGAAAAATAGACCACAGGTCCTTTTATGTATGATTTCTCTCCCCCCGCCCGCCCTATCTGTATAAGATCATAGGGATATCCAGTGGAAGTGTCTAGTGATACAGTACAGCAACATAAACAGGGTGCTGTGATTAAATACTTTGTTCTAGACCAGTCAATCTCAAATTACCGGTATGTTTCAGAGTGTGCAAAGCCCTTGTTTATGGTTTGTTGAATTAATCTTTTTGAGAAGCAGGCATCAGAGGATTTCAAATGCGGGTCTGTGAGATAGTCTCTTGTTCTTATGCAGTAATCTGCAGAATGGAAATAAGTGGGAATTCCTGTTCTAAACTGAAATTGTTTGTATGATATCAGAGCTCAACGATAGCACTCAGATGGGGTGTGTAACAATGGTAAGTAACATTGCAATGGGATACTGAGTGGTCTGGAACTTACGTTAGTAAGAGAAAAAGTAGTTTACTGGAGAGAAATGTAAAAATACATTTTGGGAACAATGAACCAAACCAGAAAGTTTATTTTCAATAGACTTGGTCAGCTTGATGAGCAGGTGGGGTTATTAGGGAGACTTCTTAAAGCTATTTGCCTAGAATGTGGTACTGATGGTATTTTGTGGTTGCACTTGTACATGGATTCATAAGAACATAAGAATGGCTGGGTCAGACCAATGAATGGTCCATCTATCCCCGTATCCTGTCTTCCAACAGTGGCCAGATGCTTCAGAGGGAATGAACAGAACAGGGCAATTATCGAGTGATTCATTTCCTGTCATTCAGTCCCAGCTTCTAGCAGTCAGAGGTTTAGTGACGCCTCTGACCATCTGAGCTAATAGCTTTTGATGGATCTATCCTCCATGATCTTTTTTGAAGCCAGTTATAGTTTTGGCCTTCACAACATCCCCTGACAACAAGTTCCACAGGTTGACTGTGCATTGTGTTAAGAAGTACTTAGTGAAATTAAGGGACCCCTGGTTCTTGTGTTATGAGAAGGGGTAAATAACACTTCCCTATTCACTTTCTCCACACCATTACTTATTTTCTAGACCTTTATCGTATCCAGTCTTAGTCATCTCTTTTCTAAGATGAACAGTCGTCATTTTTGTTGATCTTCTCTGTACCTTTTCCAATTCTAATGTATCTTTTTTTGGGATGGGATGACCAAATCTGCATACTGTATCCAAGGTGTGGGCATATTATGGATTTCTGTAGTGGCATTATGATATTTTCTTATCTATCCCTTTTCTAATGGTTCCTAACATTCTTTTAGCTTTTTTGATTGCCATTGCACATTGAGATGTTTTCTGCACACCCAGGGCCATAGAGAAGCCATACCTTGTGGACAGTCCAGCAATATAGTGAGTCTGCCATACTGTGTTTACAGATAAGTGAATGTGCTGGAGATACTACTGTGATGAGCATGGTATAAGAACCTATGTAGAACTGAATAGAGAGAAACTGCATGAGGGAAGGTCTGTGAGAGGCATAGAGGTCTCTGCTCCTCAGGAAGGTCTGTTTTGTATCTCTGGATTTCTCTCCAGCAGCAATGGGAAGTACTGAGAACTGTAGGAAAGTTTGTAGTTGCAATACTCGGGTTGGAAATATTCCAGGGGGTCTCTTTCTGATGTGGTTTCCAGCACAAACACCAATTCTTTCCCCATGCTGTGTTTTGACTGGCTTGATTGAAGACTCTGCTACCAATCTTCCAGATCTTTTGTAACTAGCCTTCAGGGGAGGAGAAGTAATATTTATGGTGCCTGCACAGCAGCATGGAGCTACTCTCCATTGGGAACTTTCTATAATTAGAAACCTAGGTGCATATGGAAAAAGAAACATTTAATTTATTTTTTTAAGAATGAGGCGCCTCCAACCTTCCCGCTACTTTGACCCTATCCCTTGGGACCTCCTTAAGTTATGGCCACCCTGGAGGAACTATCAGTGCCAATACTTTATTGATCTGCTGTTGAGTGAGGTGATGTACTCTGCCAGACATGGGTGTGCTGCTTTTTTAGCAGTCCAAGCTATGGCTGGCATGCAGACTGTGATTTGAGTCCAGGTCTCCTGCTCTTCAGTGTCAGGCAGTGCAAATGTATCAGTTCCTCCCAGTTCCCTGCATCCCACATCAGAATACGCACTCTCTGTCAAGGCTGTGCCGCTGTTGGAGCTGTGGGCATATGGAACCAGCAGGGCTCTCTGTAGGATGGTATAATCTGCACTGTCTCCTCAAGGGAACAACAAATAATGGTGTCAGAATCAGACCCTTAATTTTTAAAGGGTCTGATTTTGCCACGCTTACTGATGTTTAGTGCCTTATTCCCCAGTGTGACAAAGTTCCTCCTCTATCTTGGTGGGTCCTGCGCTTATTGGCGGATT